ATATATTTCAAAATTATGCAATACAGCAATTGCAATAAGGACACGTATAGACGTGATCCTTGTAACCGGTCAATATGTATCGAAAAAATCTAGTCATTCCTTTTATTTGTATCCTTTGGAGCCACTAGTCTAGCCTTATACTTGTCTATTGATTCATCCAACTTCAGTTTCGTTTTGAAAATCTACTTGCAGCCTAAAACTTTGTTTCCCGAAGGAAGTTCAACAAATTCTCAAGTATGGTTATTCATGATAAATTCAATTCAATTATTAACAACTTCTTTCCAAAAAGAGCTTCGGGTGAGGACATTGCGTCGTTAAATGTCCTTGGATCATTTTCTAGTAGATATGTTAAAAAATCTGGACCAAAGTTCTTATGAATCATTTGTCTTTTACTGCGCCTTGTTTCTTCTTGATAGTTTCCAATGACAATATCGTAAGTTCGTTTGTGCGAGCTTACTTCTTTCTCTTTGTAAGGACTTCAAAGAATACAACATTTCTTAATTCAATGATTGTACTTATATGTACATCAAATATTTCAGATTTATGAACCAAAAATCGATATGCACTATTGTTGTTTAAATATCTAATAATGACACAATCAATTATTTTAGGTTCAATCTTTACTTGTTTAGGTTAGATATTTGTACGTTTGCCAAACACCCCCACACTTTAAGATATTTGTAGGAAGATTTCCGACCTTTCCATAACTTATAAGATAATTCATTCTTACTCTTGTGTGGTACTTTATTAAGAATATGATTTGTCGAAAGTATAGCTTCCCCCTACAAGTTTTGAGGTAAGATTGAATTAATCAACATTGTATTTATCATTCCTCAAGTGTTCGACTCTTGCGTTCAACAACACTATTAGATTGAGGTGAGTATAGCGCCGTTGTTTGATGAATAATTTCAAATTTTGAACAAAATTCTTCAAACAGGGCAACATATTCTCTACCTTGATCACTACAAGTCGCCTTTATCATTTTCCAAATTGATTTTCAACTTCAGTTTTATAATGTTTAAACACTTTCAAAGCTTTATCTTTACTTTTCAACAAATATGCATAGCAGTACTTGTATAATTATATATGAACGTGATGAAATACATTTTACCACATTTTGTGTGAACGTATTTCAAGTTACATATATTGGTATGAATAAGTTCCAAATGTGTTGTGCTACGTTCGACCGAATGAAACGGCAATTTGGCTAACTTAGCCTCTACACAAATTTTGCATTTTCTATTTGTATTAAATGCATACTTTGTAGTAAACTTAAATTCATTAGTTTTCGTATAGAATTAAAGTTTACATGTCCTAATCTATGATACCATAAATTAGACGATTCAAGAATATAAGCAGAATATGATATATTATTCATTGAGTTATTCGGTATAATGTTGAGGACATTCATCTTGAATTGTCCATCTTTTATACAGCATTTGCCTACATACATATTATTCTTGTTAAGTATAAACCTATCCGATACAAAGACTAATTTAAGCACATTCTTACTTAACAAAGAATCTGACACTAAGTTCTTGCAAATATCCGGCACATGAAGAACATTATTAAGGTTAAGTTCCTTGTCCGATGTCATCTTCAAAATAAATTTGCCTCATCCTTCAACCTTTGAACCTGAAGAGTTTCCCACGAACATTTGCTCACCATCGTTCAGAGTGCAGGATGGCACAAATATGACAGGTAGCACCTATATCCACCCACATTTCCATTGGATTTTCAACAATGTTGCATTCTGAAATAACAACCGACAAAACTATATCTGATATACCATTAGATATTGTATCAGATTCTGTGATATTCAGTTGGGCTTGCTTTTTAGGTTTACGACAATCAACAGAACGATTTTCGGCCTTTCCACAATTATAGCAATTGCCCTTGAATTTCTTTGCATTCTTCTTAGATGGTTCGACAAAATGCTTTCTTTTCTTGCTTTTATTATATGATTCCACCACCTTAGCCTTAGCTTGTGGTATATGACTTTCAATACGCTTATCCGAATTTCGGTTAGCTTCTTCAATTTTCTACCGAACAATGAGTTCTTCAATATTTATCTTTTTGCACTTATGTTTGAGATAATTTTTTAAGTCCTTCCACATGGGTGGAAGTTTCTCAATAATTGTAGCCACTTAAAATGATTTACTTAGAGACATATTCTCGGCGTGAATGCCATGGAGTATAACCTACAATTTTTGAACTTGACGGACGACCATTCTAGAATCTACCATTTTGTAGTATAAAAATTTCCCCACAATGAACTTCTTAGTTTCGGCATCGTCAGTCTTGTATTTATTTTTCAAGGATTCCCATAATTTCTTTGCAGATTTCATGGAACTATAAACATTATATAATGTGTTATCCAACTCATTCAAAATATAGTTTTTGCATAAGAAGTCAAATGTTTCCAAGCATCCAATATAATCAATGATACTCTATTATGTTCCCCTTCTTGTACGGCGGGAGCATCTTCTTTCAAGAATTTTGCCAAGTTTAGGATTGTAAGATAGAATAACACTTTTTGCTGCCATCTTTTGAAATCAATCATACTGAACTTCTCCCGTTTCTCTCCATGTGGAATAGAATTAATATGAACGGTGGTAGGGGCAACCGCAATCGGAAGAATCACAACGGTATGAGCCAAACTAGGTAACATTCCTTCCGAAGTTCCCTTATTCGAAGTATCATTCGAAGTGGTATCGATATTGTTAACCGTATTTATTTCTACTTATACAAAACAAAAGATAAACCAAAATCAAAATTAGAGAAGGAGCAGAAGAAGTTAAATCGAAGCGAAATCAGTTCAATAGAATACAATACTAGAATAAAGTTATCACTCAAATGGAATTTGACTTAAGAATGTTGACCAAAATGATGGATTTGAGTGATGACTTTAAACCAAAACAACTTACCAACCTTACCAAAAAATTGACAGAGTAACTATAAGAATATCAAATGAAAATGAACGTCAAAGCAACGCCAAAAATAAATATATGCAAAGTCAAGGCAAGAGTTGAACTTTTTGTCCTTAAGTCGAATTTGCCATCAACAGTGCCTATGAATGATGGCATTCAACTCCTAAGATATAACGGTAAATTTCTTATGTTGGTAGCACTTCAAAACAAAAGAACAACGAATCAAAAATTGGAATTTGTACTCCTTTTAAATGAAAAATGGAAAAATAAGCTTTTATGCAGAATTTAGGCTAAGAAAAGATGAATTTAATATTACGTTATGATTGTATATCATTAGGATGAACAAAGGGACGTTCCAATGGTCTATTTATATAGAATGAAATGTTGTGAGTGAAGTGTCGCGCCCCAAATTAAACACCATTTGCCAATGGTCGCAGCTTTAGATGTCGCTAGCCGTCGCTAGCCATCGCCCTTGCATGGCTCGAGCGTCAAAAACAAAGCCTTTGTCACTCGAGCGCTAGGAGAGCGACGAAGTTGGACAATTTTCCAGCCAGTTTCCTCTATTTTCTTCCAACTTTAGATTGTAATTTCATATTCACCCGCAATTGGTTTGAAAATTCCAAATATTCCACGATGATATACTTAATGAGTATAACATGTTAGTCTATTTATTTCACAATTTGATTATCGAATCTAGTTCGAAATTTGGTCGAAATTGATACGAAAATTCATTTTGCTTGGTTTAATACTTAACCAATTTCAACAATAGCAACAATATAAGTATAGTTATCATTATGTTCTTTTTTCTGGCTGAGGAAGAAATCTTGAGAATTCAAGAGGCTTGAAAGATTAAAAGCATGATTTCCGAAGCTTATTTTTAAGTAAATTTCTTAATTTAACACATCTCTGATATTAAAAGAAGCTAATTAAAAATAAGTTTTACGTTTTCCCCCTAATTTTAGCTGAACATGTCCCTGCCGCCACTGTCAAAGCTGCACTCTTGTAATAGAATACTAAAAGAAGTTTGCTAACTGTTTGACCCACATTAAAATTCTCATTCTCATTATTTTACTCATTTTCACACACACATTTAATAAAATAATATTTTTCATCACATCAATAACTTTTCCTCTTCTTTCAACCACACATTCTCCATCAATCATTATTCCAAAATACATTCTTCCGAAATAACGTGGCTCAAACATACCAGAAGGATCTATTTGATTACAAATGTGAAAAATTGGTGGAAAGAATTATTTTACAAGGAATTGATTTGTCTAGAAATTGTTTTATTGAGAATTGTAATTTATTGTGTTTGATTGGTATAATTTTTCATGGAAAATATTGAAAGTTTGGTGCCCATTTGGTTTCCTTTTTTTATGAAACTTGTCCATTAAAGTGATTTTTTTTCTACTATTGAGTCTAAAATTTGTTCCAATTGAAAAAAAAAAATTGAAAAAAAAAATTACCATACTGAATACCATTCGTTTGACGTTTTGTATGGAAATTGTCAATAAAAGTGATAAATTTTTTTTACCACTGTATCTAAAAATTTTTCCAATTACAATAAAAAAAAAACTGAAAAACGAAAACCCACCTAAAAGGTGAGAAAACAATTTCCACAATTTCATGGAAAACGTGCACGTGTGGGTGTAAGAGGGAAAAAAATTTCCATTGAAAATTTGTACTATCAAACAAGTCAAAAACTAGAAAATGGAAAAAAAAAATCCTACTTCCATGAAAAATGAGGATTATTAAACGGACTCCAGATGTACATTCCATGAGTTACATTTTACCTTAAATGAAAATTCAAAGTGTTGAGCTAAAAGCTACATGTCGACAGGTTACATAATGTCAAAAATATTATAAAATACGAAGTACACGTACAAAAATGATGTATAAACTCTCATGTCCAATAGAAAATAAGAAAGTATTGTTGAAAATCCTTTTATGTTTTATTTTAAATCTAGGAATTATAAACGAACAATTTCTCATCCCCATACTGCGATCAAACATCCTTAAGGAATTAATAAATAATTGTATAGATAGATATTTCATATATTCTGCGAGATGGGGTTTCAAGAATTCGTGAATTCCGTTGACTGGGAAGAAGAATCCTACCCTGAATATAGAGATTTCGCAGTGCTTCCGATTTTCGCCATCTTTTTCACTACAGTTCGGTTTTTACTTGACAGATTTGTATTTGAGGTACACGGTGGACTTATGGATTTCCCTAAACGAGCTATATATAGGATTTATGGTAACGTTTAATTATTATTATTATTATTATTATTATTATTATTATTATTATTATTTATTATTATTATTATTTTTTTTTTTGTGATCATTATGTGGGTTACTTGTAAATGTTATTTTACCTGGTGCAAGTTTTGAAGTTTACAAAAATGTTGGATTTGTTGGTAAAAGGCTAATTTAGAATCTTATGTTAAAGGGGGAAATGGATAAATAAAAGAGCTTTAATGCTGAGGCTAGTGGTGCTGGTTGACTGTTGAGTGTCCTTATAGAGAGTTTTCTTCTTTGTCGTGCATTTGAACTGGAGATCTTGCTCATAAAGTAAATCATGTCACCTATGGTCCAACCAATCAAGAGAGAATCTATATATTCCCCTTAGCAATTCTTTCTCCGTGAATGGAGTGTAAAATTGTGCTCTCTAACGTTTGTTTATGAATGAAGGAAATCAAAGCGAAACTAAAGAGTTTGTTTTTAAGCAATTACATCACATAAAGATAGAGCAGTCGTGAACATAAGTTTCATTGGTAGAAATAGTAGAGAATTTCTTATTGCTGTAGGCTTGCATCGGGACTCTGTTTAAGTCCTTATATCTTCAATTTAGTAATTGTTGAACTGACAATTATATACAAAATAAGGTTATCTGGTGTATGCTATTTGGTGATGACGTAGTTTTAGTAAATAAAACTACGAGGGAGTTAAAACTTTGGAGGAATATTTTAAAATCTAGAGGTTTTAGGATAAATAGATCTAAGATGGAATGACCTTAAAGTAATTGTAGGAATGGGGTAATAGTGGAGTTACTATAGAGGATCATGTAATCCCGAAGAGTTATTGTTTTAAGTATTTAAGTTATAACAAGGAAGGAAGTATTGAAGAGAATGTATTGCATAGAATTCAGACGACTGAAATGAAATGGAGAATTACTAGAAATCAATGTGATGGGAAGATCACTCATAGGCTAACTCTACAAACTATTATGAAACCTGTTTTGTTTTATGGTGCTAAGTGTTTGATTGTTGAAGTATGAGAAGATATTATGATGAATATATAGAATGAGAATATTCACCTCCAATTAATGGAAGAGTGACTTAGTGGTTGGAAGCATGTCTTGTATAAACCTAGGGAAGTTTTTTTTTTTTTTAACAATAGTTTTGCGATCTTAGTGAAACGTGTCAGAAAAGGGAAATGTAGATTGGAATTAATGTGGCATGTTTTTACTGCAAAGGATCAAGTTGCATTGAATCTTCTATTAGAGGTGCCGTCGAACTGAATCGAATGGAAAAAAATGATTCACATATCTTATCCCAAATTTATTTCCGATAATGCATAATTTTTTTTTTTTGATGGATTAATCAACTTGACACTTGAAGACCAGGTATAATATTGTGCAAATCGTGCATTTCAGTTAAAAGACCCATCGACACGAGATACTTGGGTAAGAATTAGCAGATATGCTTATTGTTGAGCTTTAAAAAATATTATTTGGAAATACTTGACTATGTGAACATATGACCTGCTGCATTATGCCACCACTTTTCTTCTGCTTTTGAACTTATTTGCTGTTCCTTTGACATCTAATCCACCCTTAGTTAGCTGATGTTTAGTACTTTTAAGGATCTGCTGCACAGCGTTTACTAAATGAACTTGCACGTCTTCATTTTTGTGATAACAGGCATTGTACATGTGTTTTCTTTTCTCTCCTTATTTTGTTCCCCTTGAATGTGCCATGTCATAAACTATGAGATGAGAAGTGGTGTAAGAGCCCATTATGCATTCAAATAGCTATTGTCTTTAAAATTTAGTGGGCTTGGGAGTTGGGACTACTACTGAACTCCACCAAGTTTAGCTCATAATACATATACATACTTTTCTGCTATGCTATTTGCTTATGATCATACACTTATAACATTCCTTCTCTCTGCAGCAAGTTGTACCAAGTTAAACTTTTCTGATTATTCCACCCTTCCTTCGAAGAGTTTTTCTCATTTGGACTGAGTGTACATGTTGCAGAAATTGGGCAGACGGATAATATTTGGCAAGGGAATGCAAGTGGTGGAAAATGAGACAGCTGAGCGAAAAAAGAAGATACAAAAATTCAAGGAGTCAGCATGGAAATGTGTTTTCTTTCTTTCAGCTGAGATTTTAGCACTTCTTGTAACATACAATGAACCTTGGTTCGGAAACACAAAATACTTTTGGGTAGGGCCAGGAAATCAGGCCTGGCCTGACCAGAAATATAAGTAAGATTTTCATTCCCCCTCTTCTCTTGGGTACAATTTAGATATCATCACAGCTTTATTTGGGGATGGAATGATCAGCCTTGAAGCCATAACTTGGTGCAGCATAGCCTTTGTGGGACTTGTGATCCCATAAAATAAATTTGTAATGCTTGATGCTAATAGTTCTTTAATTCAGACAGCCATATTCACTTCCTTAGAAATATAAGTTAAACAAGCTTTGTTTGAAAAAATTCACAACAGTGACTGTCTTGTGGATGCCAGGTTGAAACTGAAAGGCCTGTATATGTATGACGGTGGATTCTACATGTACTCCATATTTGCTCTTATATTTTGGGAAACCAGGCGGTCCGACTTTGGGGTTTCTATGGCTCATCACGTTGTAACTTTTATCCTAATCGTGCTTTCTTATATATCCAGGTGTGTTTTTTTTAAGATTAGCTGTCATTTTTAGTTTAAATACTGAACTCTACATTCTTCTTTGGAAGTTTACTGGCTGCAGAAAAAGAACTAAATGAGCTTTCTATCAATACATAGAAAGGGTAACTGATAGAGTAACCTCTTCAAATATTGTACCATCAAGATTGATTTTTGCGAGCTCATCTTGACAGTAGTTTGGGACTTGCTATAACAATAAAACACATCATATATCTGAGGTTAATTAGAAAAGGTTCCATTTAAGTCCTATTTCTGCTTCGTGTAGGTTTGCACGTGTTGGTTCAGTTGTTTTAGCTCTTCATGATGCTAGTGATGTACTTCTGGAAGTAGGAAAGATGTCCAAATATGGTGGCGCAGAAACACTGGCTAGCTTTTCATTTATTCTTTTTGTCCTGTCTTGGGTCCTTCTTCGTCTCATTTACTATCCGTTTTGGGTCCTCTGGAGCACAAGGTCAGCTGTGGCATTTGTTTTATCTATTATTCTATTCTTTTAATTTTAAAGGTACCAATGTTGAGATTTTTCTGGGTATCTGATTTAATTGAAAATCTTGGCTTGCTAGATCATGGTGGTCTTATGAAAAAAATAAAATTTTACGCATTATCCTTTTTACAGAAGTAATAACTGATCACTCTCTGTCTTATTTTTCTCAAGTGATGTTGATCTCTTGATCCATCATCCTTGGAAGTATCAGATTTTAATCGTGCCAAGTTTCTTCTCTGTTATATGGTTTATGGATTCTTAATCAACTGTTCACAACCATAGCTTACTTATGGTGCTAATTAACTTTAATTTTTTTTATGGACTTCGATGTGTGTTTCTGGTTTGGTGAATGAAAGAGATGGAAAATTATTTAATGTACCCTGCAAAAAGTATCTTACATTTCACGTTTTTTATTCTTGACTAGGGAGTGCATATAATTAACTTGACATTTGATGTGTTGGTTTAGCCAAAAGAAAAGGAAAACCCCAGCGTGGTGAGAGGAGGGGTGTGTGTGTGACAGAAAGCTAGGATATTTTGTGTTTGGAACGTCGTTTATCAACTCTATGAATATTAGAGTATCCATGATTTCAATAAGTTTACTTAGCAAGGTAACTGAGTTTGAAAAACCTGAGATGATTAATCACTTTTACTTACTTTTAGATGCATAGGTGGTATAGGCACTGCACATTCTTGACATTAATGACTTTATTCAACTAGCTCACTCTTGATATTTGATGCTGGACACTCTCATGGTTGAATGAAATATAGTCGAACCATTCATGTACGGGACTATATAAATAGATATATTTGCTGTTTTAGATGCATCTACATCCATCAGACAATCACTGCCTGCAACTAATTATACACCTGCAGTTAACTATGTATCACTTCATGCTCTTCTTGATTAAATTTAATAAAATAGTGATTTCTTAATGAAAAGAAATGCATGAAACTTTCTATCCGTAATTCATTCCCTTTATATTCTTATTTTCTATTTTGTTCTGCCGTGGTAGCTACGAAGTTATTCTGACCTTGGATAAGGAGAACCACAGACTGGATGGACCAATCTACTACTACATCTTCAATTTTCTTCTTTTCTCCTTGCTTGTTCTCCATGTCTACTGGTGGGTGCTGATGTATCGAATGCTTGTCAAACAAATCCAAGCTAGAGGCCACGTCAGTGAAGATGTTCGATCTGGTAAGTAAAAACACGTAATCCAGATGATATATTTGAGGGTTTGCAAATTGAATGTAAATCTAGAACGCCTACTATATTTTGCACGGATGCATTGTTCACTGCAAATATTCTGCATTTGGTACAATTATTTGTTTAAATATCCACTAGATGTGCAAATCGTCCTTCAGTCTAAAGGCAAGAAAAATGCAGCAGCCGTTAGTTGTTTTGCATCGGTTTATGATTCCATTATGAGTTTGGCGCTGAATCTGTAAACCTTTAATCTACTTGGTAGAGTTCAGGGCGCCATTATATGTACTCAAGTCTCTGTTGGTTATCATAAATTCTCCAAGTCATTCATGGCCAAGAAGTCGACTTTTTCTTTCGTTCTTCACCTTGTAGTTTTATGATATTTAATTAATTATCCTTGTCCCCATGCAGATTCTGAAGATGAAGATCAGCATGAAGATTGATCATAAAAGGAGATTTCCGTCATTACTTGGTTCACTTGATGGTGAGTAACAAATACAGAACAAAACCATCTAATAACCATATTTAAACCACTCGAGAGCTTTTTTAATAGCATTAGACACACGTCTGTTCTTGAAAATTCAAGGAAGTTGCATACGACATCATGAATTTTTTTACTCGTGTATTTTATTGGGCTCACTGCTCGAATAACCAAGTTTTGCATCGTTCTTGTGCAGATGAAATTACACCTACCAATATTCGAGTGATATTTTATGACTAGAAAATTTTATTTCGATTCAAAAAACCTGTGTAAAGTAGGATTTGCTTCGATGAGACCAGTTGAAGAGTTAAGAAGAAGTGGAGAGAAGGTTGATTGGTCATTAGGAGTTTTATGCTAGTTATCATCGTGTTCTGGCCTTGTGGCATTTGTTTACTACTATGTTGCTAGAAACAGTGTGCCAGCAAAGAAGCATTGGTACGAACTGATTAATGGAAGTTATATTTTTATTTCTCTTGTAACAGATTTATGTTTCATGGTTGCTGGAATTATTTTTCAACATTTAGATGTTCAACTGTCATACAATAAATATTATTCTAATTAATTTACGATATTATAATTAGCTAAAATATTTAGTATTTTTTTCAGGGCAAAATGATGAAGTTCAGCAAGAAGAAAAAAAGAAGTTGAGAGAAAGAGGAAATTCTCTTTATTGATAAACTTGATCGAATAAAAATTACATCAGATAGAAGCCTCATTTATACTAAGAATTGCGAGCTAGAAATAACAACTTAGCTAACTAGTTAACAGAAATTGTGAACTAATTGAACAGCAATTAACTCTTAACATAATGTAGTTAACTATAACTAATTTTCCCTCTTTTCTTTTGTTTTGTCATTTTCTTCCTTTTGTTTTAATTCCATGTTGTCGATTTTGGATTCAATACTCCAACACCCCCCCTAAAGATGGACATGAATGCTAATAATGTTCATCTTGTAAAGGTTATGATGAAAGAGTAAAGAACCAAAGGGCTTCGTAAAAATGTCAGCGAGCTGAAGCTTTGAAGGAATGTGGAAAATTTTGATGATGTTTTGCTGTAATTTTTCCCGAACGAGATGGCAATCAATTTGGATGTGTTTAGTCCTTTCATGTTGGACTGAATTTGTAGCAATAGACAAAGCTGATTTGCTATTTGTATAGAGAGATGCATGCTGGGGATGGCTGTTGTTTAGATCATCTAGAGCATACAACAGCAATTGGATTTCACAAGTAGTGGTCGCAAGACCCTGTATTCGGCTTCAGCTGAAGAACGACTGATGGTAACTTGCTTTTTTGATTTCCATGAAATTAAGGAGGTTCCAAGGAATACCGCAAAACCAGTGACACTCCGCCGAGTATCGACACATCCTGCCCCAATCACTATCTGAGAAGGCTTTTATGTGGATGTCAGATGAAGCTGGAAAGAAGAGAACTTGCCCTGGTGTGGCCTTTAAATAGCGTTGAACCCTGGTAGCTGCCTGAAAATGGCTCACAGTAGGAGAGGCAAGGAATTGGCTGAGCACCTGGACAGAATAGGCCAAGTCAGGCCTTGTGATGGTTGAGTACATCAACTTACCTACAAGCCTGCAATAGCCAGATGGATCATCATACAAAGGAGTATCGGTAGAAGAGAGTTTCAAGGTGGATTCCATGGGGAAAGCAACAGGCTTGGGGCCAGTGAGGCCTGTGTCGTCCATGATGTCGAGAACATATTTCCTTTGACAAAGGGAAATACCATTCTTGGATCTAGCCACCTCCATGCCAATGAAGTATTTAAGTTGACCAAGATCCTTGATGGTGAATTTGTCATGGAGAAAATCTTTTAACTGTTGAATCTCCAGTAAATTGTTGTTGACTAGAAGAATATCATCCACATAGACTAATAATGCAATAAAGGAGTGAGCAGATGTTCTGATAAAAAGCGAAGAATCAGAGTGACCTTGAGTGAAGCCAAAGGTGAGAAGGGCACTGGACAGTTTGGCAAACCACTGCCTGGAGGCATGTTTTAAGCCGTAAAGACTCTTTAGAAGCCTGCAAGCATTATGACCTGTTGTGGTAGTCATGCCAGGAGGTAAATCCAGGTATACCTCCTCATGTGAGTCACCATGGAGGAAGGTATTGTTGACGTCAAGTTGATGCAAATGCCAATTTTTTATAGCAGCCACATCAAGGATCAAACGAATGGAAGTGATTTTTGCCACAGGAGAGAATGTGTCAAAAAAGTCAAACCCTTCTTGCTGGATGTATCCCTTTGCCACAAACCGGGCTTTATGTCTCTCTATAGTCCCATCATCCCTATGTTTGACGCGAAATACCCACCTGCAGCCAATAGTTTTCTTGTGTGGAGGGAGAGTAACTAATTCCCATGTTTTGTTTAACTCCAGAGCATTGATCTCACTTTGCATGGCAGCTTGCCATTCAGGAAATTTAGAAGCTTGTTTGAAAGTTTTGGGTTCTAGAGAAGAAGAGATAGAAGCTAAGAAGGCTCTATGTGAGGTAGATAGTTGTTTAGTTGAGATGAAGGTTTGAATAGGGTAAGGAGTGATACTACCTGCCATTGTGGAGCAACCATATGAAGTCGAATCCTGGGATGACAACTGAGCTGAAGAGACTGTACCACAATAATAATCTTGCAAATGAGCTGGAGTTTGTCGAATTCTGTTTGATTTTCTGGCTGGGGGATGATCTACAGGAAATGTTATATGTTGATCATCATTTGTTGGTGTCTCATAGGAGTGGTGATGTGCAGGAGATGAAACAAGAGAGAGATCATTATCTGGTGATTGGGATAGATCATGCTCTATCAATTGTGAAGGAGGTAAAGGGGAGAAATCTGGAAAAGGGTCTTGTATAGGAAACAAGGAGGAGTGTTGGTCAAAGTTTGTAGGAATATGTTTGAAAGGGAAAATGAATTCATGAAATGTAACATTTCTTGAGACAAATATTCTATTTATGTTGATGTCCATGACCTTATATCCCTTGAAATCAGAAGGGTAGCCTACGAATAATCATTTGGTGGCTCTTGGATCAAATTTTTGTTTGTAGCGTGTAAGGGTGGAAACAAAGCAGAGACACCCAAAAACTCTTAGGTGTGAAAGATTTGGAGGTTTATCGAATAACATTTCGAAAGGTGATTTATTTTGGAGAAGAGGTGTAGGAATTCTGTTGCTTATGTGAGCTGCGGTTAGGACACAATCACTCCAGAAATTGAGAGGTAGGTCGGCTTGAAAGATGCTGGTGTTTCCTTTCCACAATTCCATTCTGCTGTGGAGTCTCTACACATCTCTTTTGATGTATAATACCATGTTTATGGTAGAAATTTGTGAGACAGAACTCAGGGCCATTGTCTGATCGTATGAGTTTGACAGAGGTGGAGAATTGAGTTTCCACCATTCTGCAGAATGTTTTGAGTAAATATGGAACATCAGATTTATTTTGCATCATATAAACCCATGTGTACCTTGTAAAGTCATCAACAATAGTGAGGAAATACTTGAAATTGGAATAAGAGACAGTGCTAAAGGGTCCCCAAATATCACAATGAATTAAATCGAACTTTTTATTTGATCTGTGAAGTGATACAGAAAATGGAAGCTTTCGTGGTTTTGTAAGGGGCAAATATCATAGATATGTGTACAATCAAAAGTAATAGAATGCTCAATTTGCTTGAGAGGAATCAATTTGGAGTTGGAAACATGTCCCAGTCTGTAGTGCCATATGTCAAGTTTCTAGTGAGTTATGGTTGATGCAAATGGTGCAGAGTTGGATTGAATTCTGGTATGGAGTTGTGGAGATACTTGGATTAGATGGTACAGTCCTTCCATCTCAATAGCAGTCTCAATCATCTTCCTCGTTAATTGGTCCTGTAAGGTGCAATAGCAGTTGGTAAAAGTGAGATATACATTAGACTGAATGGTGAGTTTAGATACAGATTTCAAATTGAAAGAAAAGGATGGAATACACAGAACATTATGCAGGAAGAGGGAGTTAAAAAGGCATATAGTGCCACTGTGAGAAGTTGGAATCCTAACACCATTAGGGAGATAAACAAAAGTGTTAACCACTTGAGGGGTAGAGCCATACAGAGAAGGGGAACATATTATATGATCTGTAGCACCTGTATCAAGAATCCAAGAGTAGTTTGATTTTAATGCAGGTGAGATAGAGCTGCAACATATAGCATGTGCTACAGATTGTGTTTTACCAGAAAAGTGAGAGGTAGATGCAAAATTGACAGTTGGTCGAGTGTTAGAAGGATCAGTTGGTGCTGAATTGGCAAGTGACATGGGTTTGTGAAATTCTTCTAAAGTGAAAGATAATTTTTGCTGCTCTTTGTCATTCTGATAGGTAGTTTCTTATGTAATTGTAGCATGTGCTGAGGGTCTTCCAGAGACGTTTCTTTTCCCTTTTGGTCCTATCCAATTAGGAGGATATCCATGGAGTTGATAGCATGTATCAACCCTGTGTCCAATATAACCACAATGAGTGCAAAGTGGTGAGGGAGCTTTGGATCTGTCTCTGTCCCTGAACAATTTTGGCCGATAATTTTGATGATTGTTGCATTGTGCCATTAAAGCATGTGTCTCAATATGTGAAGTAGAGTTAGTTAGCAGCCTCTGACTTTCTTCTTGAAGCAACAAAGAGAACACCTGAGCCATGCTAGGCAAGGGAACCGTGAGAAGGAGTTGGCAACTGACAGAAGCAAAAGAGTCATTCAAACCAACTAAAAAACTTCAATACATAATCAGATTGTTGATGATTCCGCAAGAATGTGAATAAATCACAAGTGCAAGTTGTCATTACTCCACATGTGCAGGTTGGGAAAGGTCTGTAACTAATGTATTCATCACATAGAGTTTTAAAGGAGTTGAAATACTCAGTCACAGACATGGAACCTTGGTTTATGCACCTCAGGGATTTTTCAAGATGAAATACACATGGACCATCACTTCTGAGATATCTAGTCTTAAGTTCATTCCATAGATCAGTGGCTAATGCAACAAATAGAAGACTATTGTGTATGTCTTTGGAAATAGAATTCATCAATCAAGAGAGAACCAGATTATTTGCTCTTAACCAGGCCGTGAGATTGATTGATTGATTGATCAATAGGAGGAGGAGAGATTGATCCATCGATGAACTGAACCTTATTCTTTACTGTCAAGGCTATAGTGGTGGATCTGCTCCAGGCGACATAATTACTTCCATTGAAAACTTCTGATACTAGCATAGCACCAGGATTATCACTGGGATGAAGGTAATAGGGACTTGAGGAGTCATCTGAGGGGTTTATGACTGAATTACTCGAATTTGTAGTAGGATTCACAAAAGAATTATGAGAACTCATCTTCAAAGAATTGAGTGCAACAGCTTCAGAAAAGAGTGTCTAAAGGAGACGATCAGTTTACCAGAAAGAGATTGCGGAAGTCTTCAAATCTCTGATACCATGATGAAGTTCAGCAAGAAGAAAAAAAAGAAGTTGAGAGAAAGAGGAAATTCTCTTTATTGATAAACTTGATCGAATAAAAAGTATATCAGATAGAAGCCTCATTTATACTAAGAATTGCCAGCTAGAAATAACAACTTAGCTAACTAGATAACATAAATTGTAAACTAATTGAACATCAATTAACTCTTAACAGAATGTAGTTAATTATAACTAATTTTCTCTCTTTTCTTTTGCTTTGTCATTTTCTTCCTTTTGTTTTAATTCCATACTGTCGATTTTGGATTCAATACTCCTACATAAAACAAAATAATAAGTTACTAGAAGTACATAACATTAAAATTAAACAGTAGAAAACCAACTAATTTTTTTAAGGCAAAATTAATTAAATTCCCGACATTAAATTATCTTTCAGTCTTAAAATTTATTAATAATATGTAATTTTGAAACTTTAACTTAGGCAAAATAAATATTTTTGGTACTTCTACGATACTGAGGTCCTATGCGATCGCACCACCTATGCACCATCATTACCGACTCTATTTATTGCTGGGTATAAATTTTATTTTATTGATTAAATTTATTGAAAACAAAAACTCTTAATTTATTTTGTTCATAATTTCTTGTTTAACTCTATTTATTGTTAAAATAAGTAATTTTAAAGAATTTGGTTAAAAAATATATAAAATGGCCTATGTAAATTCCTCCACAAGAAAAAGCTTTATTTACGTACCTAGCTTTCCTATAAGATCGTTTCTCTCAGCCCAACGCGGCCGACCCCCGCTCCCTGAGATTAATCTCCGCCGTCCTCCACCAACACAACTTTAACGAGGGAACGGTATGATTCTAATCGCTTCTTTTCTTATTATTTTCTTTTTCCATAAAATACACCCAACATTTCCTTCTTTGGAAGACATCTGATTTTTGTCGGTTTTACGTTTTTTTTTCTTACTCTAATTACTGTGTCCCAAAATTAATATCTACTAATTATGTTATTCTAATCCATAATCTAATTACTTATTCAGCTGTAAAATATAGGAACGAATTTTAGAACATGTTGTTAAGTAATTGTGGTTTTACGAGCTAAAAATGGATTGTGGTTTTGCGAGCTAAATGTGTAAATTCTAGGCACAAATTTTTTAAGGGATGAAACTTTAGCTTCATAAATTATTGAATTATCTGAATTCGATTAGCTTTAACACTATGAATAGTTGCAATAACTACAGGGCTATTTGACTGCAGATGGCATCTCTTCCTGATTTGCCTCTATAAGTTAATCAGTTTTACCAAAATTACTTGGTTTGTGAAAATTTGGATTATTTTGTTCTATTTTCTTGTTTGACATATTGTCAATCTGTTTCCCCCAATAATTGTACCTCTCTAATTTAGTGTTATCAGTTGGTTCTGGACTTCATATGAATGCTGCTTGTTTGTCTGGTTTCCCATTTTTGGGGTTTTTGTAATGCGATTCTTGATATTCTTAATTCTTACTTTTTACCTTAATTGTGTTATTGCTGCTTACACCACTATACAGATAACTACAGCATTGGCCAAATTTGTTTATTAAATCGATGTGTACTACCTTCTTTTTTGTTCGTCTCCATACTATCAAATAACTTTAGATTGCACCTGGTCGCATTTAGACTTCATTTCAATTAGGTTTTAATTATATATGCAAGTAATTATGCTTCCATTTACCAATGTAAAGGCTAATAGTTGTTGAAGTGGACATTGAACATTAGAGTCTTAAAGAGTATATGCCTATGGGAAGTTTGCTGCTTTATAATTGTTTAGAAATTTTCAATTTTATTCCTGATGATTGCTTTATCATTGTGCTCACTTGATTTATGGTTTTGATGTGTATTAATGCATGCCTATCAGGAAAAAGAAGAGATAACAAACGGACCCTTTAAACTGTAGCTTTGATGTATGCATTTGTATATGTGCTATTGTCTCTTCCTGTATGCTCTGGTACATGAAAAAAAAAATGTCCTCGATTTTTACTTTCTACTTTTGGCATTCCTCCGGCAACAGATGGATGGGTTCATTCAAAACAGTTTTAGGCACTTCTTAGCAGCTATAATGGACTTTTATTCATTTAATAAACAATTGTATTTTGTTGACCATGAAGGGGCATTACTTGGAATACAATTTAATTCTAACTGACGTATGAACAGCGTTCTAAAAAACGTAAAACGTGGAGGTGAAATTTCAAACTTTACAAGCTTAAGTGAGGTCTAGGCGTAAAAAAGCTTTTTCTTAATTTTAATATTATTTTAAATTTTTAATCATTCAAAAAATCATTTAATAATTAAAATAAAACATACTAAACATCTAAAGTTTTATATATTTATTCAATAATTCATATGATTAGTCAATTATACTTTCAAGTTTTTGAAATGCAAAAATTAGACTATTTTTCATAGTTTCATACTTTCAACTAGACATGCCATACTTAATAAATTTATAGGAACTTTATACGTGCTTTCAGAGTTTTCAACAAAATAACGAGTATCAAAATCATATATACATAACGTAAATAAAATCGTAGCTTAAATCTTATTTTACTCTTTAGGGTGTGTTTGATGGATATTATTGAGAAAATAATGTATTTTAAATAGTGATATGATGGAAAATATGTGGTTAAAAAATAAAGAAAAATTATTGATGTGATGGAAAATATTATTTTATTGAAGAATGTATGGTTGGAAATGAGTTTTGAAAGAATATATTTTGAAAGAATGTGTTAAACATGGGCTATGATTATAATTAATTTTTTAATCATTTCACACCAAATAGCAAATAGATAAATAAGTAAAAGGATACTCGGGGTGTGTTTGATGAATATTATTGAAAAAATAATGTATTTTAAATAGTGATATGATGGGAAATATGTGGTTAAAAAATAAAGAAAAATTATTGATGTGATGGAAAATATTATTTTATTGAAGAATGTGGTTGAAAATGAGTTTTGAAAGAATGCATTTTAATAGAATGTGTCCCAAATAGGGGCTTATTGGATAAATCATTTTTTTACTTTTATACATATAAACTAGAACTTAAAGTCAAATAAAAGGTTTTTTTAAAAATAAAAAAAATTAATAAACTAAAGTCAAATAAAAGAAAAAAATAAAAAATTAATAAAAAGCGCCTATGGAATATGAAAGAGGGGAAGGAAAAATCCAACCGTTTAGGAATTGGAAAAAAAGCGCTTAAGCGCGAAGTGAGGTGTTTTGCCCGAGCTTCGAGCCTAGTCGGCGCCTATGAATGCTATAACTCAAGTTAATACTTGATATTATGGCTCTGAAACCTAACCAGGTGGCATTTTTTATAAAAAAAAAAAATTCACTTTAGCTGACTTGTAGTTGATTGATGCTTTCATGTTGAAGATATCCACGAACTTTACTGTTGTGATTTAATACACTAACGATGTGCCTTCTTTCATGATTATTCAGGGCATAGGACTAGAATAAAGGAGAGATGGATGATGTGGTAACTGACCTTCCACCACCATCAAGATTTATGTTGGAAGATCTCAATAATTTCACTCCTCCATCTCAACCTCTTCCATCTCCGTTCCTAGTGTTCTCAACTCTTGATTCCAATAAAAGCTTGCATCCCTCAGTTCTCATAGTTGCTATATCTTCCCCGTCTCTTCATTTTTTACACCACCTCTCCTCCAAAACTCTAATAGGCACGCTTGTTCTTCCGGAGTTCCCTTTCTCTGGCAACACTGTAGAACCCTCACTTGGTGACAAATCATGCAATGTATATGCCCTTAATCAATCTGATAAACTGATTATCATTGCTCTTGTTCAGTACTCTGTTACTGCAGAAAGATCCCATGCAGTGGCAAAGTTGCTGATTGGTGAACGTATCATACCGGAGAGGGTTTTGATTTTGGATTCTGTTCAAAGCCGTAACTTTCGTGGTAAACTTTCACCAGATGACACATTTGCAATCAAGTTGGAGACATCATTTGAAAGAAGAAGTTCGGATACTGTAGATTCACCACTGATAAAAGGGTTGGATTATTTCCCGTCAGGAAGTGTGGTGGACGGCCTGGCCGCTGCTCTGTTAAGTCGATGTCAATTGAAGAAGATCAAGGGGACTCTCTGTGTTTCGTGGCCTCATTTCGGTATTTCAGTGATGTCACTGATTAAGTCGCTGCTGCTGAAGGATGTTTTGGCTGGCATAAATCCTAGTAGTGATGTTGATTTGGAGAATGAGTATTTAAGGTTAAGTCGTAGTAAGGATCTTCATCTCAATTCCGAGTTGTATACTTGATCTGAGACTTTTAAGATGTTTCCATATCAGCCTTATCTCTCATTTTTCTTGCTGTCTTTTCCCATTTTCTTTTTTCTTTTATTTTGAGCAAAGCTTGCCTTTAAAACCTTGTATAAGGATAATTGTTGTGAGAATGCACTTGTTTCTGTTCCTTATGTTTTTAGACGTTTGTGACCACACCATCTTTGTGGACTTCCATTGAAACTTCATTTCTTAATACCTACTAATTTAAGATTGGCTCAAAATGCAGAGGTTGAAGTATCTTTGTTAAACTAGTCTTGGGAAGATGCTTTCTAGTGGTTGAGAACAAGACAATATTTTGATGCTAGTGAAACTTAATGTTGGAATAATAGTACTTAAAGAGTTATTCAATCGGTGTTGTGATTTTGAAGGTGATGACTTTTCCACTTTCATGAAAGAATCTGCGATGTCTTCATGTTTCTGCTCAATCTTCTCTTGTTTAACTGTGTACATTGAGAACTTGCAGAAACCAAATGATGCGTTTAGTTGTGGGAAGCTATTACATGGGAACTAGGTATGCTTGTGTTCTGCTTTCTGCAGAATGCTTGCAGTCTGTTTCGTTGTTTGAATTAAGGCAATTGATTTTGAAGAATGGTGTTTTCAAAACATGATTTGTAGTTTTGAAGTGATGTATAAATAATTTTGTAACAATATTGCTCTATGTTATCAATTAATTGATCAACTATCAGATTCATTTCGTCCCACAACCTGTCATCTCTCCCACCTACGCTGCCATTGCTTGAGTAGGTGAGCTGTGTTCTAGAGTTTCATTCATCAATGTCACTGGTTTTGGGGTTCGGGTGATGGCTTATCGAAGTCAGGTGATGGGTCTTGGTGGAAATGCATGTTGTGGGAGGTTGGTGATGGTGGTGGTGGACTGGGTGTTGAGGCGAATGGGTAGTTGATTTGTCGGTGTTGGTGGAGTTTGCCGATTGTGAGGTGGTGGTGGTGGTGGTGGTGGCTGGCAGTGGCTGTATGCGATTGAAAGAGGGTGGTGGTTATTGGATTGAGGGTAGGATATGTAGATATTAGTAGAATTAGCTACCACTTCCTGGTATAGTTTCTCAAGCTAGTTTCACGATAAATATGGAGTTAGCTATATAAATTCTTTTTTGCCGTTTCATTCGGTTAATTGCTAGATCTAGTGGAAGATCTAAAACAATGCTATTTTAGGTCTATCCTTCTCTTCTAACTTGTTATCTCTTTAGTTTTGGACTGATGATCAGCTGCATACCAAAAAATTGCATTTGCAACTTGGGGTAAAATGATGTGTTGCCGGTTTATGTATCAATTTGACCCCCCTTTTTTGTCTTTTCATTTGATTGAGATGGTGACCTTACGGAAAATTTTGCTACTTGCGATGAAATGCTATGATCTTCTCATGCATCAATGGACCTTTGGCCATTCTTGGACAAGATTTCGATAATCACATTACACAATACTTAAAAGGATAATCAACCAATTTATTTAGGTGTTATGTGATCTGAAATTACAATAAAGTGAGATTAACGGTGGTAGTTAATCAAAAAGGTCTTTTGAACATTCAAAAGCATAGTTAGTTAATTAGATAATATGAAGACAATGCATCCAAGGAACAAACTCTTATCGCTATAAAGCAGTTGAGAAAATTTTAGCAAATCTGTTCCCAAACTTAGTCAATAATTTGTTTTTTTTTTCAATCACTCTAGAGTTTAGACCCTTGTCAAACAAGAAACCAACCCAAAAGGGTTTTCTTTTATGTCAATTACTTGAAAAGTTGGAAGGGTAAAGCATCACCTTTTATAAGGGCAGAATCGAATTATAGTGTTGAACGAGTAGATTTAACTCTTGAGTATTACGGGGATAAACTTCTATAAATTTAGAAAAATATGACTGGTTTGGGTCTGAATTTTTGCCCAAATTTTAAGTCAGTACAGCACATTTATAGTTTCTTTTTCCCTTTGATTTATTTGGTAATTTTGGTATGGGAGAACCCACCAACCAAGATCAAAGTAGTTACATCCTCTCTTGACTAGTGACATTTTTTGCATAATAATCTTTCATTTCATGTCATTTATATAAACTCGGAATCCTCAACATTTTATCACAAATCTATTCATCTATCGGGTTATCCCTTGCTCTCACGTTCGAGTGTTTGCTCATATCTTTTGCTCGCAACTTGGAAAATTAATGGCGTCTTTTCTTCACTACAGACATATTGTTTTGCAATGTATGATATTAGTTCTTTGCATTGCTTGTTCATGTTTGCATGCAAGTGAACCTCCTTTGACATTAGATTACTACAAATCGACATGCCCAACTGTTCTCGAGATTGTTTGGAAAGAAATGGAATGCGCAGTGCTGTCTGATCCGCGTAACGCTGCCTTGATTTTACGACTACATTTTCACGATTGCTTCGTCCAGGTCTTCATTCTCTTAATTTATTTCCAGAAACCTTTCTTTAAATAGGTTGACATCCCATTATACTATACAAGTTTTAGAAGATTCTGAGTTTTTTTTCATATAATATTGGAGCTGCAGGGTTGCGATGGATCGGTTTTGCTGGACGATACAATCACGCTTCAAGGAGAGAAGAAAGCACCAGAAAACATACATGCTTTGAAAGGATTCAGAATCATTGATAGGATCAAGAACCAGCTTGAATCTGAGTGTCCCGAGATGGTCTCTTGTGCTGATATTCTCACTATTGCTGCAAGAGATGCAGTTCTTCTGGTATAATTACCTAAATATATCAGTAGCATCATTTTATAATTTTGAAAAAAACTGATAATATTGAGAATAATAATATTTATATTTGTGCATGCAGGTTGGTGGACCTTATTGGGATGTTCCACTAGGCAGAAAGGACTCGAAAAATGCAGGTTATGAGCTTGTAGAAACAAATCTTCCCAAAGCAAATGAGGGACTGCTCTCCATCATCTCAAAGTTTATTAATCAGGGTCTCTCCGTCACCGATATGGTAGCTCTTTCCGGTAGGCGCCACTGTATAACTCTTAAGACATTATTGGCATGTTTGGTAGAGACTATTCGATAGCACAACAGTATTAAGACAGACAAATAAGTTAGAATTTTGTTCATGTTAGTCTTATGGAGTACTGCATTTCAAACATATAGTATGATCATAATAGAAATTATTTTTTTCTAGGAACTTGCTTCATTCTTAATTTTCCCTATCAAAATCTTTTCAAAGATATTGACAAAACCACGACTGTGATTTCCCGAAAAAAAACTCCGCCTTGTAGAAAGCGATGATTTATACAGAATAGAAGTTTAATTTCAAGAATCATCAAAAGTGATTTATTTTGGTGAAATTCTTTTGCAGGTTCACATACAATTGGAATGGCACGCTGTGTGAATTTCAGAGAGAGAATATATGGAGATTTCACAGCAACTTCAGGAATGAATCCAGTTTCACAGAGTTACCTCAACAGTTTAAAATCTGTTTGTTCAGCTGATAGAAAATCAAACCAAAATAAATCAGCATTGGACCATGTAACGCCTAATCTTTTTGACAATTCTTATTATCACGTTCTGTTAAGAGGAGAGGGACTGATAAATTCAGACCAGGAACTCTATTCCAGTGTTTTGGCCGTTCAAACGAAGGAACTTGTCGAAAAATATGCAGCAAATGCGATTGCTTTCTTCGAGCAGTTCTCTGAATCCATGGTTAAATTGGGAGATATAGCAAACCCAGAAACTTATGTCAATGGAGAAGTTAGGAAGAATTGCAGGTTTGTGAATACATAAGCATTACATACTTATTACCAGACTGTTTATGTCAAGAAGTAAGATTTAAAATTTGAGCCCTCTATTTGATTCATTTTGTATTCAAAAATGAAGATTTTATGTACGCGTTAAGCACGGGATTTTTAGCTGTTGTGAAGTGAAGCTACAAATCGAAATACAGAAGTATTATTTTCTTGTTTTCCTTGTTTTTGTTTTGGCTCGATTCAATTTGCAATTCTACGACAATTTCTTTGAACCTCATGAGTGAATTCATGCGTAAATTGTGTTGATACTATCACAAGAATGAAGAATGTTTCTTTATATTCAAGAGAGTTGAGCAGTTTCAACAAGTTAAATGAAAGTATTCAATCCATGTACTAATATTTGGTGTGAAAATTGAAGCTCACCTTTACTTTTGTCATGCCAACCAACTGAATATCTTATTGTGTTGCTAAAATAATAGAAACCAAGACTCAAGAAAATTTATGAGAATTGCCTTGTCCATATATATATTTCTATCTAGAACCACCAGGACCCATCAGGACAAGTAGATCGTTTCTTGAAAAATTAGTTGTTATTTTTGACTTTTATTAGACGACTGGGATCCAATAACGATTATATTTTCAATTTTAATTGGATTTTAAACTTAATCAAACATGCTCACATTTCTATCTAGAACCACCAGACCCATCAGGACAAGTAGATCATTTCTTGTTAAAGAAAGCCATTGTTTGATCCCCATTTTTTTCAAAATACATTTTTCCCTCTCTTCTTTTCACCCACATATTTTCAATAAAAAAAATATTACACGCAATACAAAAAAAAAAAAAACTTCATTTTCAACCACACATTCTTCATCAATCTACTATTCCAAAATACATTCTACACAAAAAATGTGGCTCAAAAAGCCCAAAAATATAAATAGTAAATTTTTTTTTTAATAATTACATATCGCATTTAAATAACTAAAAAACTAATAATATTTTTTTAATGAAATTAACATTTAGATGAAACTAGAGATTAAGAATGAAATTGATCTATTTTTTTAATGAAGGATGAAATTAAATATATGAATAAAATTGGGGGACAAAACATGAAAATCACCTAATTTTACCATTCAATTTCTATCCCTCGTCCTTACAGAGGAGATGTGTTCTCTCTTACATCAAAGCGTGTTATGTTACTATCACATCTTCTATATTACTTCTTTGTACAAATCTCAATTTTTCAAAATTTCCTCCTCAAATCTCTCTTATATTCCATTTGTAATTATCTTTGTTAGTCTATATTTAGAATATTATTTATGGGAATTGATTTGGCAGGTTCCCTAAATTAGAAGATTCATATGAGACCTAAATGTTGAATATATAAAAATAATTTTTCTTTTAAATCTATCCGTACTATAAAGAAAATTAGTTATTTTCTCTTTCAAAAGAAGCATGGTCGACGACACCAGCAATTGTATCTTTCAAATTATGGCTAGACATTGCAGAAGCTAGAAGAAACGTTTTAATGTATGATGTAATTTCTATTGTGTGGCATGTGATTGTATGTCACTCATCTTGGATGTGTTGTTTAATAAAGAACAATTATAACTCTGATTCATTTTATATCATATAATTGCAATCAAACCAAATGATATGAGTTAATGTGAGGTGTGACGAACAATTGTTTGTTTGGCTACTACTATCTCGTAAAATTGTGACAACTTCGTATGCAGATTGTATATGTAGACATAAATAATTGTTAAATATGATCATTGTGACATTTGACGGGATTTTTAATAACATATGGCTCATATGAGATGTGTTCCTATTATAATTTAGAGATGTGGCCATGAATTTGTGGCCATCCAAATGCGTAAGTGGAAAGGTAAGGATTATTTTTTCTCAGCATACACACACTATATTATGATAAAAATAGAATAGTTTAAATTACCATAGTTATAAGAACGAGATAAAAAATGTAGAAAAAATATAGACGAAATTTTAAAATTAATTAATTCCTAAACATAAATAAGAATTTTTTTTTTATTAATTAATTGATTTTCAAAAGTAAAAATAAAATATTGGATTGGTCAAATTTTTATTTATTTATTACTTACTTTATGGAGACCCATTTAAAAATGCATTAGAATGGAAAAGGGACAACTTACAAAAGTACTCCTAAAATTTAGAGGCTTTTGAAAAATCATATGAAAAATATTTTGGAAATAAAAAAATGTCGTATAAAATTAATTATTATTTTTTTTTATAGAAAAGAGACATAATTTCGCTTTTTAAAGTTACACCTTTTATTAAAAATATGATGTTTGTCACTAAAAAAAGTAACAAAAATTTAAAGAAAGTAATAAAAAAAAGTGACAGAAATTTTAAAAAAAAAAAAAACTCAAAAAAGTGACAAACACTTAAAAAAGTTACAAAGTTAAAAAAAGTGACAAAATACCAATTAAAACATTAGAATCAATTCAATAAATTGACAGAAAAAAATGAAATAATCAAAGCATGATGAGTGGCATTGACATAATTGTGATCCATTGGAATCGGTTCAATAAATGACATAATCAAAGCATGATGAGGTGGCATGGTGGCATAATTGTGATCTCATTCTTGTATTATCATACATGGATTGGCAAACACAAGGTAAGTGGGGTGCCACAGGTATCTCTAAACACGAAAGTTCAATCATCGGCCCAATGTCACTCGAGTGGCAGCAACAACTATTTGAGCTCCGACATAACTAATATCTCCCCCCTTTTCCACCATGACAGGTTGGTACCGCCCCGTTTTATCCAGGAAAATCACCAATAGTTGATTCATTCGCTACAAACGAAGATTTAGATGCTAGCAGAATCCTTTGCACACTAGCATGCTTAAGGATTTGTATAGCTCAAAAGGTGTGTTGCAACTGTCTTGTACCAAATCTATCAAATGTTGAATCCCAATCTTTGTACCCACAATATGATCCACAGCAAGATCATTATAGGGAAGAATCCCAACTTTTAATGGTCCAACTCTAAATACAGAATGCCTAAGCATAGACTTTAAACACAATTTTTTTCTCAACCCATTCATACGATTCATTAACCATTCTTAAATTTAAGCTAGTTCTTGAAGAATTCTTGATCGAATGCTCCAAAGAAACCAGCACTGATCGTACTAGTTCCACCAGGAACCTGACCTCGCATATTGGTTATTAGGAGCACTGTCTTCCAAGATGAAGAATTATCCCTTTTAGATTGGAGAGGAGTTTTCACCTGGTTTTGATGAAGGGTTAATACCCTAAATAGTCACCGAACTTTGCCAAAAGTTTTCAAGAGGTTATCGAACTTCAAAAATACTCTAAATAGTCACTTAACTTTGCAAAAAGTTCTTAGGAGGTCACTGAATTTCAAAAATTCCCTAAATAGTCAATGAACTTTGACAAAACTTCCTAAGAGGTCACCGACCTTTACAAATTGAGACCCCATTACGTCAATGATTTAGTGACCTATTAGGAACTTGTTGCAAAATTGAGTGACTATATAGGGAAGTTTTGGGAAAGTTCAGTCATTATTTAGGGTATTTTTGAAGTTCGATGACCTCTTGGGAACTTTTGGCAAAGTTCGGTGACTATTTAGGGTATTAACCCCTTTTGATGAATTTGGCCGTAATTAATGGGGAGATTAAATACATAATTAGGTTATTCTAATTATTTCCTTTTTAAAGTACTGGGCCTATTTATTTCAAAAGGGTTATTGTAAAGCCCAATTAAAAGGAACGTATATAACTATCCAATATAGCCCATTTCTGTTTTGTAAGTCTTGTTCTGTTCATAGAGCAAAGGGAAGCGGCGGCTAAAATTTTCTTCCTCGGCACTACGCTAAAATTTGGGAGGCAAATTCATTACGTCCGCTCAACTTCTTCATCAACAAAATTGGAAGTTAGTATCGGATTTTATTAGTGTAAAAACGGGCTTTATATGTTGAAATTGCACTCGATCTGATTGTTGTGAATGATTAAATTTCAACTTTACTTCTTATAAAATATTTATTTTTCCAAAATCGTTGGTTCTTGATTGTAATCTTCCTCTAGAAACGGTATTTTTTTTTTCGGCAACCTTTCTCTTGAATTTAGTATCTGTATATGGGTGGGTTCTACTTCTACAAATTATACAACTGACATTCTTAGTTAATATTCAATGGTAGGAGTCCTATAATTTGATGAATCTTGTACATTAAGAGTTAAGACTCGTGTTTGCAAGTCTAGATTAATTTTCACAAATTTACATGTCTATGTTAAGCCAATATGGGGATAGATGAATATCAAACAATTGTGAAGAATATCACAAGGATTTCAAATTATTGTAAGAAGATTATGAGTATGCATAGGGGTTGAGAAATATAGATTGTTGTTCTGCTTTTTCTTGCGTTCTATTTGATGGTCCTGATATTATTAATAGTTCAGCCAAAAAAAGGTGGGAGGCATTCAAATTTTACAGGAAAAGATTGGAAGAGTAACACAAAACGAATATCTCATATCAGCATGCCTAATAAGAGATTGCATGTAGTATATGTTAGAAGAATTAAACAAATTCAAATTTGTTTTCCTGTGCTTTGGATATTTTTGGAGTTGTTTGTGCATTTTACTTATTAGATACATGTATAGCAAGTGAATTCGTGTACTCAGAGGGGATCCACTTAAGCCCAAGCCCCACCCACTATATCTAAACGTGGGAAAACATAATAATATATTTGCCCACCCCTTCATTTACTTGCTACAAACACAAAATCATCTTTGGGGAAGTGTGTAATAATTTCTTGATACGTGTGCTAGTTAGATTCACACTTTGGAAGATGCTAAACATAGACATACATTTGTGAAACCATCCACGAAATCAAAACTATAGTTTTCTCTTTATTTTGCCTTGTCTCCTCTCGAAAGTTATTCTTCAATCTCCTTTTTCCAACCTCTTCCTTTTTGGTTAACAGAAGATGACATGCAGAATGACTAAAAGCGTGAAGGTGAGTGAAGGCATGGAAGATAGAATAAGCGACCTGCCAAGTGAGATTATAGATTGTATTTTAGATTACATGCCAGTTCAAGATGCTGCAAGGATGAGTATCTTGTCAAGAAAATGGAGGAATGTTTGGCCTATGCATCCAAAACTGATATTTGATGAGCACTGTTTTAAAGTCATCAGAAATGGAAGGTTCCAGTACCACCAGATTATCAATAAAATTCTGTTACAGCACATGGGACCCGTTGTAGAATTTTTCCTCGATCTTTCATACATAAGTGGCACACATTTCTCGTATGTTGATCAATGGATATGTTTCTTATCAAGAAATGGTGTCAAGAAGCTTACCCTAGTGAATTTGAAGCAGCCACGCATGCTCTACAGTCTGCCTTCCTATGTATTCTCTTGTCCATCATTAAAAACCTTGGCTATTCATAATGTTTGTATCAAGCCCTGTCCCATTGGATCTTTGGGTAACCTCACTTCTCTCTCTTATAAGAGTATCTTTTACGCGTCAAATGCATCTGTACTTACACTCAGAGACAGCTTGCTAAACCCAAACCTAAAGGAGTTAAACTTTTCATTGCACAAAGAGCTGGCAAAGAAAGATGGTTTTGACTTATCAAGTCTTCTTGAAAAATTGCCGAAAATTGAGAATCTTATTTTGAATGGCTTTGCCCTTAAGGTGAGATAAGCAAATCTTTAATTAGTTGTGTCCTAAATTTTGCCAATCATATACCCTAAAACCTTCTGGCTTCTTTGGAAGTTTTTGGCAGCAGGTACTGCGTCAACTTTGCTTCCAAGAACAGTGGAATGCCTTGAACATCTTACACTGGATTGCTTGGATGTTACAGATTTGGATCACATTTCTACTACTGTTTGCTTGCTTCAAAGTTGTCCCAATTTGCGCATTCTTGATCTGAAGGTGAGATGGTAAATACAGATTGTTCATCTGAGAAAGGGCTTGGTCCCGACATTCCAAGAAGACAGATATCAGCCATACCCAAAGTGTGGATATTCTTGCATTTTGGTATGTAGGCATATTTTTTAATATGAGTTGATTCTTCTGCAGGTTTTATCAAGAAAAAAAGTTAATGAAGAGGGAGTTCTAAACTTTTTTAAGGCTCTAGACTGCATGAAACTAAACCTTGTCAAACTTAAGACCGTAAAGATATGCTTGAAAAGGAGGAAGCCTGTAGCAGAACTGAAGTTGCTGAAGCTTCTACTTACTTGTTCTGCATCCCTTGATAAGGTTATAATTGAAGTGAAATGTTCTATCGATTCTGGTGCGGGCTTCAGAATTACCAAAGAATTGCTGGGGTACTCTCGAGCATCACCAAATGCCAACATAATATGGAGCGAATGTAAAAATAGCAAGACAGGCCATTCCTGAGAGGATAACACGCTACCACTAATAGAAATCGTGCCCACTGCAACTGTCTTATTTTTATTAAATTTCAGGCTCGATTGCATGAAATTTTTTTGTCATTCTATCCGATTTATCTTTTGTTCGATAAAAAGTTATATATCTTAGCCTTTTTTTGTTTATGGGTTACTTTTTGTGCGATAAAAAGTTATATATCTTAGTGTTTTTTTGTTGATGGGTTATAGTTTTTAACTCTGTTTTTTTTCTCTTTTCCCGTACATTCTTTTTGGGCTCGATCCGGGAGGTCATTTCTACCTTGGAGAAAATTAGTGTACTGATTTATAAAATTTTGATGCACAAGCAACAAAATCCTTTATAAATAAAAGGGTAATTCCCCTTGCCCTCTGCCATGGGGGCGGGCCTCATGTGTTTTTATAAATGGGGGCTCGTGGGACCTCCTAATGTGAGTGGGGTGTAAAGGATTATGTATAAAGTCCCACCTCCTAATGTTAGTGGGGTGTAAAGGATTATGTATAAAATTAATAAAATTATGTACATGTAGACTAATTCTAAATAAAATATTGAAAAATACAGCATATAGAAAACTTGCTGATAATTACTGTATTAAACATCTATTAGTTACATTTATAACAATTCATACATTTTAATTTATTTATTTTTCGTTTTAAAAATTGTACACAAATTAATTTGAACTCTATCTAATATCATGTTATCCATCTTAAGTCTGAATAACTGCTTTAAATTATTTTTAATTAACGAAATTATTTTTTCAAATTTACTGTTTACAAATTTTTTACTATATTTCGCATTGCGAAAAAAAACGTAATTTAAAAATATATAGATGCTTATGGTGTGAGCGGCTAACGAGCCCGTTTAGTTCATCCCACCCATTGACAAACTGGAGGGGTGAGTCTGATACCAATTTTTCGAAGCTGAGTTGCGGAATGTAAAATTGCAAAATTATTCATGACAATGGATTCTAACTGGCATACAAGTATCAAATAAATAATTAAAAGATCTTTGCAAAGCTAAACCTTCTTACTGTATGTTGCGATTGGGGTTGTTTCCTTACGCTTCTGTCTGATATACTTTCCTTGCCTCACTATGGTAGATCTTATGGATTTGTTTCCCTAATGGCCTCCTGCCTAACGGTACTCCTCTGTCCCTGATCCTTATAGATCCGTACATGGATTATGCATATAAGAGTAGAAGTATGAAAACATGTAATTTTATTGAAAGAAGGTTTAAGAGCAAAAAATCTCTTAAACTTTATTTAAATACAAGTATTTAGATCCAGTATGTATTCACTGTCTTTGAGGTTTTAGCCTCGAAACGAGTACATTCAATTTTCAAAGATAAGAAAGAAAATTTTTCTCAAAAAATTTCTCCTCCCCTTTGTCTTCTGAGTCTGCCTCCTTTTATGGATGAAATCTGAGATTCCTCTTTCATCCCTGTCGTCCATTTGTCATTTATCCACAGTTTTTCTTTTGCAAAAGTAAAAGTAATAATAAAGGATTTAGACAAATTTGTCGTCTTTCTTCTTTTTCAAAAGTAGATGCTTCTTTTGTCACATCTTCTTTTAAAAAGTAGATTCCTTGTCGGCAATCTTTTATTCTGATTGATTTGTACAATTTCCTGTGGTGCTTCCACTAGACTCTGTCTCTTCTTTAGCTAAATCATGTTTATCTTCTTTTGTCTCACACCATTGGCAGAAGTGATCTCTTCCAATGCTTTGCACAATTCTCCCTTGTAGTTTGAAGGAACATTGGGCAAATTATAAAAGTTTTTCTTAAAACTACACAAAGCTTTGATTCCTTTCATTTCGATCACTGATCCTGTTTTACTTGTCATCAAAATAAAATTTGATGAATGATTCACCTTTATCTTTGATTCATTATTAAAGGTTCTTAAACCTGTCAGAAGTCTTTGGTATGACAAACTTCTTCATTCACTGAGAATTGTTCATTTACGCAATCAATCTTTGCTGTAGTTGGCTTGTACAAAGTAATTTGTTGCATTGTTTTGATCTGGATATGATGATACCATTTAATCAACAATCCTTCATTATTCCAAAATGGAATCGTACTGTTTATCTTCAAAACCATGTGAAGATCTGGATCCTTAACAACAATTTTCTTAAAGTCCTTCAAGGCCTTTAATAATTTGTCATCAATAAATTTGATTTCATCTATCGTTTCACTGAGAAGTATCATTTTGATAAGTCCACAATGAAAAAATGTCTGCACTATTGTTGGTTCTGATCCTTGACAGAAAATGAACTGTCCAAATCTTTTTTCAAATAAACCAAAATATGTTTTACTTGGATCTGAATCTCCAACTGTTCTGTCTTCTTCTTCACATTGAAGAAAATTCTGCAAAGAAATTCCACTAAAAAATAGTTTTTCTTGTGATTTTGGAATTTTTCCAATAGATTTGAATCTATTTGGAATATCATCAATTTCAGAATTTGTTTGAACCATATCTTTAAAAGATATCATCCACAAACTTTGATTTGGGTATGGAGGTACAAATAGTGGTAATCTGGGT